ATTCTTCTAAAAAATAACTTTTATTTTCTATTCCTTTGATTTCTTTTAATTTTTTCTTTTGTTTATTTTTAAATTATGTTTTTTATGTTTTTTATTTTATTTAATTTTTAATTTTTTAGTTGAACTTTTTTAAATTAAATTACTTTATTTTATTTTAATATATTTTGTTTCATATTAAATTATTTTAATTTTTTATTTTATATTTTCTTTATTTTAATTTTGTTTAGTTTATTAATTTAATAATATTTATTTTTTATTATTTTCTTATATTTTAATTTATTTTATTATATTATTTATTTTATATAATATTATTCATTCTTTTTTGGGTTTATATTTTTTATTATTGTATATTTTATTTTAATTTTTCGTTTTTTATTTATTTATTTTTTGTTTATATTATGTTTTTTTTTCCGAATTTTATATTTTTATTTGGATAATTTTACATTATATAATTTTTTTATTTTTTATATTATTTAATTTAATTTTAATTTAATTTTTTCATTTGCTTTTCACTGTGTGCACTTGAATACTTCACGTGAATTACCGTGTAAATATGAAATGGAAATAGGAAAAAGGAGCGACTGTTTAGTGTTCGAACCAAGCGCGTAAAGGGTTCGAGTGTTATTCGCTTGTTTACACAAGTACATATGTATATGCATATGCACATATTGAGAATTTTTTTTTTCATAACAAGAGTGTTGCTTATAAGACAAGAGCTCACATACTATTTTATATATTTAATGTGTTGTTGTTAATAATTCGTAGTCTTGCTGACTAGTCCTTCCGAGTTGCTGTACACCGTGCGTTTCGTTACTTCCAAACGATTGATATTGGTAATGATTATGATTTTTAATGCTAATTATGTGCTTTGTTGTTTTTTTTATTATTGTATGTACATGTCTGTTGGAAATGTTAATTTGACTGCTATGTATGTATGTATGTGTGTATATAATAAACAACTAAACGAACTAATGGAGCTCGCTGAGGACTCTGGCATACACAGAAGTGTTTCAGACCGAAATTGATGTAAGTGAGTGTATGTTTGTGTGTGTGTGTGTGTGTGTATGTGTGTAGCTGCAGATGAGCACACATTTGATGTGTGTAAACACCTGAATCGGTAATGGTGCAATTATCAACAGTCGGATGAAATATACAAACATACCTTCTTACATATATATATGGACATGTCTATGTTAGCTTTACTGAAGGCAAGTTTCCTTGGGAAGTCGTAAAGTGGAAAACAAAAAGTCTGAACAAAAGTTCCTGTAGACATCGAGAAGTAACATTTCCCAACAGGGAAGAGGGGTTTTAGTTGAAGGTTTGAAATTTGTGTCTTATTCGTTGTACGAAATGATGGAACCTGCTTTTTCGGTTCCCTCTAAGTAAAGCATGTTCGATTAGAGATGAAGTAAGAAGATACCTTCGTCATCAGATTTTTTCGTTATTGTTTGATGCTTTTTGAAGCAGTGTCTCTCTTTTACTTTCAATTTCGTATCTAAAATTGAATCAAGAGCGATTCTGAGCTTTAGAGCATATTTTCTTCAAAAGTTTTGCTGCTCCTCTCCAGTCCCCAATATCTCTTCTTAGGTAGATACTGTGCAGTTTTGTCACATCAATGCAGTAAAGAAGGCATTATCAAGTTATTCTGTGGACGAACCTTAGATAGAACGGCACAGAGAGGAGCTGTAGGAGCTTATAAGTAATATCTGCTTCGAAACAAGATTAGAGACAGTGAAAGTGTGATTAATCTGAGGTGGACTTTAAATATTGAAAATACTTAAGAAATTCTTAGTCTCCTATTTCGCTCTCATAAAGTCCTTAAGGTGTTTTAGTCTACATCCCTCAAGTAATTCAGCTTATAGAAAACGTCAAATTGATAGCCCTCTGATTTAAAGAGAATCTATGACACTGCCCTTTACACCGACACCTGCTATCCCATGCACATTTACGTTCTGCCCCTCATTAGAGGTATTTATTTTATTGCATCTTACTATTTACTAAGCCACAGCACATCGTTGTCGGCTCAACATCTCCATCCTTCTACAATACATAAAATCATCGAGAAACAAACAAAATTTCTCATTGTTTCTTCACTGATATTTACTTTGGCTTCCATTAGCATTCTTTTAATTTAATTAACACAATCAAAGCCTGCACAACAACTGTGAGTGCGTGCACCTTCCACCGCCACTCAAAGGCGGCCAACGACCAACAAACCAACGCTAAACAACGACGATCAATGATCAACGATCAACGATCATGACGGCATGATGATGATCATTCATTTCTTCATCTGACATCAATTGCATTTTAGTACTCAGTCTCTATTATTTAAATATTTAATAAACATTTCTTTTATACAACAACGCTGCAGTGGCAGAGATCGCTCTACAGCATCTCCTCCTGTCCTGCCCCTACAGACTGCCGGCTTGTCTCTGTCGATCGCGCCGTTGTTTACACGTTTGAAGATTTCGCATTTGCATTTTGTCATGTCACCTACAGTGCGGACGGAGATCTTGTTGTCTTATTTTCTAACTCTTCTTTAATCTTTTTTGTTCTCTCTCCTCTCCCTTTACTGCTTTTTCTTATACTGTATGTTTGTATCTTTTTTTCTTTTGCTAGTTAGAAGATGAGTGCAACAATTGAAATTATTTCTGTTTATTGACGCTTTGTAGCGGGTGAAGCGTCTTTCGGCCGAGCTCCTCGTGCAATATGTGTTGGGTGTCTTGTTGTTTCTCCAGCATATGGTGGGACTTATTCCCACCTGCGGTTTAGGGGTCAAAAATGTACCCACGGTAAGGCATGCCTGCCGCAAGAGGCGTCTAAAATCCAATAGTTCCCACGACAGTCGGGTCTTTATACCGACAAGCCCCGGATTTTTTAACCGAACAAGAACTGTCACTCGCGCAACATTCCCCAAAAATTACTTTGAGGAAAATTTTTGCGGTTACAACAACAACCTACAGTTTATTTTAAGCCCTCTCTGAAGTCGGTCGTTGGAGTTTCATGAGAAGCTTTGATTTCATGCCAGAAAGTCAGTTAAAGAGTTTGATCTTTCCTGCCACAATTTTAGGTATTTGTCGGATCAATACACGAACCATGGCCTTCCGAATGGTAGTACACACTGTCAAGTACTCGCTTATGCGGCCAACGCAATGTTTTGTTGATTTAGGTCGCGTTCGTTGATGATCTTCGCTGTGCTCATAGCGATCAGTGTCTTTTGTGTTTTAGCTGGAAGGATCAAGCTGCTGACGATGACATGTTTAATGCATCAAAAATTTATACATTTTTTCTTTTGTTTTTCTTCTCAATTAAAATGCGTTGAATTTATTCAAAAATTATTTTTATTATTATTATTTCTTTATTTGATCGTGTCGGCTTCTATGAAAGTGATGCAAATTTTGATTATGATAAAAGGTAAAATACTTCAGTTGGGAATTTTATTTGTCTTTACGTGATATTTAATCGTTTAAAGCGCTGAATCATTCATGCACAGTGGGTTGGTTGTGTTAAATAAGCGGAAAAATATTTAAAGTTGAAAAAAGTAGAAAATAAAAATATTAATTGTATTTACGTGATATGTTTTAGGCCTCAAAAGAGGGTTTCGAAAACCGATTAACAATTAAATTTAGCAACTGAGCGCTCTTTTGGCGCTTAGAAATATTAAATACGTTTTTCTATTCCTGTATGGTCCACTTCCTATATCTAGTTTTAGGTAACCAGTTCCTCTCTTTACTGAATTTAGAGTCTCAGATCACACTCTTGCTTATCTTTAAAATGTATGGATGGTCAATTTACAGCTTACAGTTCGAAGCTATATCTTTGAGACCATGTTCTCGATGTCAATGAAACAGATCATTTCAAAATCAAATTTTTTAACCTGAAATATAAACATAACCTTAGATTGATAGAAAAATATTATGCCCAAACTCACACTGAAGCAGAAATCCTTGAGTGATGAGAAGAAACCCTAATAAACTTTGTTCCAAACTTCACCAGATCGTATTAGGCGCACATAAAACCCATAAACCCTATGAGAAATAGCAAAAATCCGAGATCTCTTTTCCGTTTTAACGAATTTAGACACTCAAATGAGTTCTAGAATACGCTCAGAGCCACTCGGCTACGCCTTAGATCATGAAATTTCCATGAACGAGGTCATCTAATAGGAGGTGCAGAAAACGAGCTATTTACAAGGGATCCGAACAGTGGATGAGTGGTTTTAGACGAGTAAGTTTTAGGCACATGTATAGATATGATTGTTGTTGGGCGAAGAGTCATTGCAGTACATACGAGGTCAAGGGTCTGAATGGCAATGAGTTGGGTACACGAAAGAATGTTTTCCTTCTTTGTGCTATTATTACTAACGTCTCGCGCTTCAGCTCCAGTTCTTCTATAATACTATGAGTGTTCGTCCTTTATAGAAAGCGAGCTTACAGAAGTGTTGGCGGACTCGCAGTGTATGGCGTTTACTGCTTGTCTGTAGCACATTATCTCCAGTGGGGTTTGTTATGTTGAACTAAAGGGAGGTTCGTGATGGTTTCCTTTTGAGTCTTTAATATCTCTGAATGGGTCGTTTTGTAGAGTCTGCAAACATTATATATCAGTCGCTTTCCGGAGGCAAACTTCTAGCAAGACCAGGCTCTCTGGAGGCATTAACAGAGCACTCGAGTCATTTTTGTAGAAAGAGTCATCTTGGAAAACGTTTTAAGGAACAATATTTATGGGGAAAATATTGAAAATGAGAACTAAATTTAATTAAAACACTTCAAAGACTCGGCGTCGTCACATTACTCACTCCCTCGTCATCGTTTCTCGCGAATTTCTTGTAAATGATGGTTTAAATGCAAAATGTTTGGGTTTCTTGTAAATCAGTGTTGTTTAGTTATCTTTAAGAATTGTCTAACCTCACTTATTTTTTCGAGTTTAGTCAAATTTTCATAATTTACTTTTGTTAAATTTCTAATTTTCTCTCTCTTCCCTCACTTTTTTTTTTTTAGATATATGAAATATCTTTATCCTTACGAATGCGATAAGAAGAATCTCAGTTCGCCCAACGAGCTCCAAGCGGCTATTGACGGCAATCGTCGCGAAGGCCGTCGCACAAATTACGGTCAATACGAGTCAATGCATAATCAACTACAAATGGTGAGTAAATCAAATATTAATTTAAAAAAATCTATACTTTACCCCTCTTTCTCTCTCTCTCTCTCTATATCTATCCATAGCCTCAGCTTTCGCGGCCATCACTGCAAGCAGGCTTACAACAAATGTCCCCATTGGCACTTGTCACACACGCCAACAATCAACAGGCCGCCGCTGCCGCTGCCGCCGCCGCCGCACACCGACGCATGTTGGCGCCCGCTTTCGGACAAATGAATCAAATGGGGCAGATAGGGCAGATGGCGCAGATGGGGCAAATGGGACAGATGGGACAGGTGCCAAATTTGGTGACACATGAAATTGAACAGCGCATGTTGGACTATATAAAAATGATGCAGCCCAAGCCTCAACCGTCCAATGTTGCAGCGGCTGCCGCAGCGGCCGCGATGGGCGCTGGTGCCGATGCAGCGGCTATTGCACGTCTAGCTGTCAATATGAGTGAGAATGAGGCACACCAACAGCAACAGCAACAACAACAGCAGCGTCAGCATCAGCATCAGCATCCAATGTCCCCAAATCATGATGGCGCTGCCAAAACGGAGGCGGTGAATAATGTTTTAGACCTGGGACGCGCGGCTCTCTGGCAAATGTATCACAACAGCAACAGTCCGCCAGTGTCGCTGGGGAATGGTGAGCCAGGCTCCTCGGCCGCGCTAAGGGCAGTGGGTATGAATGAGAAGTAAGTATTGTTGTTTCTACTTTGTGCATGTATTATTTAATGGCCGCTGTGCCATCTAGCGTCGACGACGCTATTTTATGTGATACTGGTTTGTGTACCCGCTAAATTTGCATATGTTTTGTTTTTCTTGTAGCGAGGCTTTAAACCTTTCACCGCCACACGTCAAGAATATCAAACGTGAACGTATGGCCGAACAGCCAGAGCCATGCGATGACGACGAAGACGATTACGATCAAGCTCCGCCAAGCAAACGCAATCCGATACTTGATTTTCAAAATAACTTTTACCTGCCACACAGTATGGCCGCAGTTGCCGCTGCCGCCGCTAATTTCCAACAGCAGCAGCAGCAGCAACAACAACAACAGCAACAAAACAATGGAAACAATCATCTGCCGCAAGATTCCGACCTGGAGGATGCTGATGACGATATGGGCGATGCGCATGCAAGCGGCAGCAACAATCAACGAGCCGCTGGAGTAGACGGTGTGCGGCCCATGGTGAATGGTCACAATCACCATCAACAACAACAAGATCCCGCCCTGCCACACAGCCGGCGTATGCTACAACAACCACACAATAACCGAAACATCAATGGCAACGGCCATCGGCGCCACGATGATGATTCGGCACTAGAGAATTCGCCCTCAACTAGCGCTGCATCTGCTGGCAGCCTAGGTAGCGGAGGTGCCGGCGCTAATGGTGCTGCAGTTGCTGCTGGTCCTGTTGGCAATAATCACGTCTCACCCCTTTCCTCGAAAAAGACAACGAAAGCGAGACAACAAAATAATGCCGCTGCAGGATGTTCTATGCTCGGCTTGGGTGCGCTGAATCTGCTAGCGGGTATGCAATTTCGTGTTGTGGGAAATGGTGAGTGCATATTCGAATTATCAAGAGCTTTTTAATAGTTTTCGATGTAGAAAAACTGTTAGACGAATGTGGGAATAACAGTAAAAGCTTTTTGAGATTGCTAGGTAAACTCGATGTGAAGCTCTTTTTTTTTATAAATTATACTTTTCAAAAAACCGATTTTCAGCATCAAAAAGCTCCAATAAATTCTTAGCAGTTACAAATGCTGCTAAATAAGCTTTTTTGGAACTAATATACTTTAGTACGAAACATATGTTTGCCTTCTGGAACCTTTGCATATTTGCGGGCAAGGTAAAAGCTCATGAGCTTTCAGGCAAAATTATTAATATTGCTTTTTCAAAAACAAGGTTTTCCGGAATATATATTATCTGTGTATTAGCAAGCAAATTATTGAGGTTTTATACGTGAAGCTTTCGGGCAAAGCTTTTCATAATGCTTTACTATACATAAAAATAGGTCACGATACCCAAATAGGTATTTAGAGTGGAAGCCTAAGAGAAATAATGGTAAAATGGTTCAACATGTGCCTTTTAAAGCTTTAAAGCAGAGCTGACAAGCTTTTATTTTCAAAAGCTGCTGAAGCAATTAATCCACTTTGTAAAAGGAGCAGTCAAATAATTACGGGAATAGAAAAATATTTCTCAAAAAAGCTCTCGTAAAAGCTTTTATCGAACATTTTTCGTCATTTACAAAAAAAAAAACACAAAAAAAACATTCAAGTTCCTTTAAATATTGTTTTCTTTTACATTTTTCTAGGCATCAACGAAAATGGCGAACAGCAATTGTCGGTAAATCTTGCACTTAATGGCGTTAACTACACCGGTGTACTCGTGGCCAATGTTGACGACAGCAATGCTGACGCTAAAGCCGAAGACGAAGATGTTAAGCTAAGCAAATCTGAAACCACGACGAAAGACGAAGAAGTAGAGGAACCCAAAAATCTAAGTGGCAGCGGAGCAAGGCGTATGGATGAAGATGCCGAAGAAGAGGCCGATGGTATTAGTACAGCGAGCACTGATGAAATAGCAGCAACAACAGCAGCAGCAGCAGCGCTAGCAGCAGCAGCAGCAACAGCGAATGCGACACAAAATGACGCTGACGCTGACGCCGATTTTATGGACATACAACTAAATGGCAGTGTACACAATGATACCGCTCCGAAATTACCATAAGCGAAGTAAAAGAAAAGATGAAGGGAGCGAAAGGGAAAATAAAAATGAGAAAATACAATACAAGAAATATCATGGGGTAAAGTTGAAATATTTGTTTAAAACAAAAAAAAAACGTGATAGAGAAAAAATGATTATTTATGGGCGCTGACAGCGCAGCAGCTTGGCAGCTGCAGAGAAATATTTACAAAAAGAAAAAAATCAAAAACACCCTACGCGACATAACTAAAGGCGATGAGCCAAAAAAAGAAAGGGTTAAATAATATCAAATTTGAAAACAAGGCAAGCTTAAAAACTCAAACTGCAAAGAAAAAGCTGGAATCAAAGCACGATGTATGTGAAGCAAAATAAAGAACTCAATTTAAGACGTTCGCTCGTTACAGCTCCATGAAGACAGCGCAGCTGCTGCTGCATAGCTTGTCAGACGGCCAAAAGCTCAATAAAGCTCCTCGGCATAAACAAGACTTACACGCTTCAATGCATGTTGGGTATTCGTTTTGTCAAAAGAATGAGTGAAAAGGTGTAGAAAACTTCAGCAAAAAAAAGCTGCTGTAAATAAAAATTAAGAAGTGGCAAAAAATTTGCAAAAAAAAATTGTAAAAGAAAAAAATATATAAAAAAAAAGCATACCAAAGGAAAAATATTTATAGCATGTATGTGCATAAGCTTAATTAATATTCCTTTTTATATATTTTTCTTTAAGAAAATTATGCTAAAGCTCTATGGCTTTTTTTTTAGCAAGCAAGCAGGCTGTTATTTAAGTATAAACTGTTATTCTAAAGTAACTATGTATGCATATTAAGTATGGAGTATTTAGTAAATAGGTGATGTAGTAGTAAAATTGATAGAGTGGCAGCTTAAGCTTTTATTTTATTTTTTTTAATAAAAACATTTATGTAAATACAATTTAAATGTTTATTTTCTAAGCGATGAGTTAGTAACTAAGATGAAGAATTGAATGAATTATGCATTTTATTTATGTTTTTCTTTTTGATAATTTCTTGTATTTTCTTTAAAAATATTAATATATATATAATTTTTTTCATTTCGAAAGTTTTCATATATTTTTGTATTTATTTTTAATTGGAAAATTTTCATACACTTTTTTTAAATTTTGAAAATATTCATACATTTCCTTTTAATAATTTCAAGTTTTTCAATATTGTTTGCTTTTCTTTATTTTTCCATTTAAATGTTTACTTTTTCTGTGTTTTTTTTCTCGTTTTTCTATATATGTACATATATAGATATGTATGAATTGTTATTCTTTTTTTATATTTTTTATAAATATAGAATTTTCTACTTACTTTAATTTAATTTAATGTTAATGAGAAAAAAATGCTAAAATATAATTAATTTTTATAATAAGTTTATGAAATGTCTAGTTTTAGTTAATACCTTTTTAAGTACAGAAACTCGCATATAAGCATATAAGACCGCAAATACATATTCTATATTCACTCAATCTGTACGATTGATAAAAGAGAAAAAAATGGCACTTCTCAGCTTTTAAGCTTTCTAAGTTAAATGATTTGCTCGTTCCCCCGTTGTAACTGTATTTTAAAAATATTATTATCATAATTATTTCAAAACTGTTTTACTTGAGCCAACTTTTTCATTCTCTTATTAAAGGAATAAATATCAAAATTACAATCTGTCAAAAGCTCTTAAATAAAAATAAAATTAAAAAAGGAAAAATAGTGATTTACTTTGCGAAAGATTATCTACGTGAATATATATTGCTGTATTAAAAGCTCACTTACGCTATTTTTTGTTTTATATTCAAAATATGTCAGTCACAATTTTATACATATATTTTATTTTTGTGTTTTGCTCTTCAAAAGCAATTATTCGAACTACTCTTGCTACTACTGTGGGATTTTTTCTCTCTTTCAAGAAATGAGAAAAAGATTCATAGTTTAACATAATTAATTATATTTTTTTAAAGCTTAAATCTTAATTTAATTTTGGGTTTTCTCAGAATTCAGAAAATGATTTGACACTAGCAACAATTTAAATTAAAATTTAGTTAAATAAAAAAATTAATAACATTTTTAAATTTTTAAGCTCGTTTCGAATTTAAGCGATTATTTAGCTTCAAAGACTAATTTAAAAAAAAAAAATTAAATGAATTTTTTAATGTTTGAATTTATTATTTTATATGAATATAATTCCTCTGTGCTGGCATCAGACGCTTGGCCAGTGGACATATTTATATATATTAAATATTTTGAGGTGCTTTGTAAAATAAAACAAATTTTAATTATTTGCAAAAAAGACATAAGTAATGAATTAAATATAAATATATATTTTAATAAATTAAATTTAAAAAAAAAAATGTAACTAAAATTATTTTTAAGCATAGAAAAGATAAGAAAAAACTTCGATAAAAAAAAATATTTCTATAAATATGTATATAATATAACATAAATAAACAATAAACGCCAGTTTATAAAATACAAAATGCAATATAAGTACATACATACAACCAGAACTACAAAAGCCAACTACATATAACTGTTAGCAAAAACCTAAGTGCATAATTAAGAAAAATAGATAAATGTAAAAATTACTAAAAAAAAAAAATAAATTAAAATAAAATACATGAAAGAAATATTTATTTATACTTTTAAATGTAAAACGCTTTCATTTAATGTCTTCAATTCATGCATACTTATATTTTATATAATTTTTAACCTACTATGGGTTTGTTAAATCATACACAGTTACCTATTGCATACTACATTTTACATACGTATTTATGACAAAATTATTATTATTTTATTTCAGTTAATTAAATGCCACTTAATGATATATACGATTAAATATTCCATTCATATTAGTGTTAATACATATTTACAATATGAAAAATGCACACTTAATGCGTAGTAGTAAAAAATAATAATTAAAATTAAATATTGTTACCTATTAGTATATGCTATTATTAACTGTAGGCATACATACTTATATATGAACATATATACATATATGTGTATATAAAAAATAAGTGAAAAATAAATGGAACACACATACATATATGTATATTTAAATGTTTATAAATAATTTATATTATAATTATAAATATTAGCAGTAAGTAACTGTAGTTGCAAATGATAACTACTTAAAAAAAAAAAAGAAAGATACAAAAATATAGATTCTGTACTGAAATAATACGAGATATATAATACATACATATATGAAAATGTAAAGAAATGCTTTTGTTTTTCCATATTAGAATGTTTTATAAGAAGTAATAACGTTTTTCTATTTAAAAAATAGAAGTTTTTTTTCACACCCTGTATTCCTGGGAGATGATACTGCCAAAAAAAAAAAACAAAAAAAAAAAAACAAAAAACAAAAAAAAACAGTGGCTGCTTACAGCCTTCCTTGAACTAATTTCACGCCAAGCTCTTCATCTACTTCTCTACCTCCTACTTTATCACCTTGTCGTTTGAAAACTCTTTTCTCTCGGAAATCGCATGCATATTTCGTCAGTAAAATTGAAGGTGTTACGCTGCTGTGCTCATCGGCACTATTTTTCGATATTATATAGCGGGTAGAAAAATAATTCGAATGGCTTCACCGTCGAGTTCTGGCCGAACTTGAAAGGGCTAGCCTATTTCATTAAGAGTTTTCACATCATTCGGCAATAATTACTGTCAGCATCTATTACTGACAACAACATATTTTTTTAACACTTTTTTTAGCGTCGAAGACAAAAAGGAAGTTTGAAGATGAGAAATTGGAGGCTTTACCTGATCAAAAGCCATGCCATAAATTCACAGTCGTTTAATGTGACTAAGCAAACAATCACCGTTCGTTTATGGCGTGGCAAGGTTATTTTGCTACATTTGCCATATTCACCAGGCTTTGGTCCTGTCTTTTCTTTTGGAGAAATCAAAGAATAGCTTTATGATCGGATCGAGGACAGAGAGAACAGATTTTTTAGAGATGGTGTTCAAAAATTATCAGCGACGTGAAAAGAAACTGTTGCTTTCGTCGTGCAATACTTTAAAAGATATATATATATTTTTTTTTTAGAAAAAACACTTTTTTGAACACCAATAAATTATAATATCTATTATAATTATTACATTGAAATTATCAAATATAATCATCACACTCGAGATTCTTCAGAATCTATCTCCCGCATAAAAATACAGGTTAATAAATGTCGAAATGTTGAATTTTTCAAATAATTATCGAAAGAGCCTCCTCATACAATATTAGGTATGTATATATGTATGTCAAAAAGTCTGTCTACTTTACTGGCAGCTCTTTCACCGCGCGATCGAAAGGAGCACTGGATTGTCTATGAAAATGACAGTAAGGCAATCATTGGGAATAATACACATACACATATATTTTCTGATTAAAAATTAATGTCTAATGACTAAAAAACTTTTGATGTTTAAATCTTTAGACAAAGAAAATTTCTTTTGTAATACTACAACAACTCGCGCACTTATTTCGTTGTTCAGTTAACAAAAATAAAATTCCACGAAATTCAATATATTTAAGCATGCATTCACTGAAAGAAAGGAATCACGCTCATTCAGAGAACTTCTAATTATTTAATAGTTTAATTATTATTATTAAAAGTTCAAGTATTTAATATTATAATAATAATTATCATAAGTTCTCCGCCTTCTACTAATAATAAATTTTTTTGCTCAAACCACATTGCATTTAGAGGGTATTTACACTTTCGAAAAGCCATGCACCACCACTAACTAGCACGAACATTTTTAGTGTTATGTATTCTCCAAAAGCACATTATGTATCGCACTTTTGATTAAGTAAATTATATACGACGAAAAAATAAATAAATTGTACACAAACACATCAAAATTTATTGATTTCAACTGATTGCTGCTGACTAAATAACTAAATACTATCCAAATAATAAAATAAAATGAACGGAACTTCCGATTTGCTACAAAAAAAAGAATAATGCCAGCAGATGACGCATATTGCAGAAAAAATTTAGTTCGAGTATTTGCTAAAAAAGGATACTGAAAAATTTATTTATAACAAACGAAATAACCCATTTATTTGCTTGTAAAAAATATATATATATATTTAATTGTTTATGTAAATTACTTTATCCTAAGTAGTAACACCAATCAGATTTTTCTATACACTGGAAAAATACCTACTTTCCTTAGCTTATTTCAGCTGCTCAACGTGTATGCCACTTAAAGGTTCGTGTATTTGCTAAGTAGCAAATTTTTGATTTCCTCTCTCCTTTTCCGTTTGCCAAGTAAACAGCTGTTAGTTTCCGCTGTATGAATTTCCGTTTCGGCAGTCGCGTTTTGGTTGCTGTTCGTTGAAAATGTGGCTTTTGTGTTGTGTTTTTACGATAATTGTGAAATTTATTAATTTGTTCTTGTTTTAAAGTGCATATTGTTGTTTAGTGAGTCGGCTTCTTCATTTAAGAAAATTATTATTATAATAAGCATAAACAAAATTGCTTTGCGTGCTCAATGCTTTGTGAAAAACGTGGGAAGGAAATGAAAATTGACGTCTGTGACACTCTCAACAAGTGATGTGAATTTGGCTTCTAAGCATAGTATAAAAGCTGCTTGTTAAAA